GTGTATATCTAAAAGGGGACTTCCGTTGAGAAAGTATAGTTTGCATCTTTGAAAAATAGTGTCTTTATTTCTAACCCGGGTACTTTTTAAACCACCCTTGTATAGTGGAAATGTTCATAGAGAATTCGAATCAAAAGAAAAAAAATGCCGGTTGGAACCTTTTGAAGTTTCAGTAGTATGATAATATTACGTAACTAATACAAAAAAGTGAGCATAAAATAGAGCAAGGTCTAGGACATATGCAACTTTAGTTTCAATGGAGCGTTAGAGCAAGACGCATCGCGCTTTTTTGATTGAAGCGTAGTACTTCAAAAGTGGTGACTGTGGAAGCTGCGCAGCGGAAGTTCTGACAGCACTTCAACTTCGAGAGACATGGACGAGCACTCGAACAGCACACAGTCCAAAGATGGGTTGACCAGGTTCGTGCTACCTACCGCAAGCGATGCAAATAAGAAGCCACCAGGAAAGCCGAAAACAGTAGAACTCTGAAAACGCTAGCAGCCATTAGAAAATATTGAGCGTGGGGAATGCTATTAGCAGGAGCCCTAGGCGTCCACTAACAATCATGTTGCACTTTTACACATGTCAGAGGTGGACCCCGCATTCTACACAGCGATTTAAGTTATCCGTTTAAAATGCAGGTGGTCCGCAGTTATCCGAGCGCGACTATGCCTCCCGGAAACAATTCAGTACAGACATATCGACCGAATGGGCGAGAATTCAGACATCTTCCCATCCTGATTATGTCGGTTGAGGCACACTGACCAACCTTTTCAATAAACAAAGCATGCGATACTAGAGCACTATGAAGCTACAGAAACTCCACAAATAGACTCCACGGCGCGAGACGGTGTGGTGCGGTGTTTCGAATTTCGCCTACGTTTCGAAATATCATCACGGAAACAACCATAATTACTTCGGAACGTTACAGAGGCCTACGGACGACGGTCCTGATTCCTGAATTGGAGACGGGGGTGTTGATTTGTCATCAGATTACTTGTAAAATGGGGCAACTGCGTATACTGCTCGAGATGCGATGTATAAAAAGTCCATTCGGAGCTCGCAGGCGGAATCGCCTCACGTTTTCAGGACAAACTGTTGGCCGACCAGATCCTCCGCTCTGAATGCTAGCCATTTCAGTGGAGGTGCCTCAAAGGCCGGGCGTTTGCATCACACAAGTATCCTCGACTTGTACTGAAGCATCGCATTATTAAAGATGTCTAGGTAATTCTACATGAAATACTGCATGAAATGTTCGTTGACTCCTTCATTACATCACAACGGAATGAGGTTTAAAGGTTGATATTTCCAAAAAAAAATCAATAAAACATGACTTGGGTTCTTGTGTCATAAAGCGGCATTACGTTATTTATTAGTTACAATTACCACTCTGGTTCTTTATGGTCTCTAAGTAGGTTACTGTAGCACGAACAATAAAATGGATTGTTTCAGCAGAATCCTTCATATTAGAGTAAAATAACCCATTTCATTTACATTTCTGTAAACGTTCAAATTCAACCTCAAACAACTCGCGAGAAGACATTTTTTCGCATGCAAATTTACAAGACGAAGCTATGGCAGGAGCAAGAGATACTTTTGTTATTAGAATGTCGTTAGAGAATAACCATGGGATGTTATATTTTTCTTCTGCAATTTATGGCAAATAAAATTCCTAAATTTTTATTACAAATCCACAAATTGGTCCCTTGCGAACATGTCGCACTTCGAAAATCAACAATTTTTAAGTGAAAAAGCTTCATGCTGAAAAATAACATCGAAAGGCAAGACCCTAAACTGCACTTTACTGGTATTGTGCGCGAGTAAATGTTATCATACCCGTGAGCATTTATAGAGCTAGAAGGACTGATACTCTTGCAAATAAATTTCACAGAGTACTAAACAATTTAATTCTACTATTTGAGATTTTGCACTTTCTGACCACTTGTGCTACAAAGGAGAGACACCCAGAAGAGCTACACCTCCAGAAACGAACTCATTAATGTAGATTAAAACCTAAGAAACACATTTCCTCTGGGTGCACAAAAACAGGAATTTATGAATCTACAAAGCACAGTTTTTGAGTTCCGAACAATGATACAGTGTGTTGGAAAAGATGTGCACCTGCCGATTCCTACAGCACAATCTACTGAATTCGACATTTGTATTCTTTAATCTGTTAAATTTATTCACGGACATAATTTCTCATCCAGCAATATATAATAATAATTTCTTCAGCACACCAGCCATTTTTCTTTAATAAATATTACTATTGTTTTAAAATATTGGATTTTTGTTTATCGTATCACCGTTCAAAACGTTAAGTGCATAGCAATTGCGGAGATCGGCTTTGACTTGTCTTACCACGCGCGCCTACGTCTGGAACAGTCTGGAGGTGTGGCAGGTGCTGCTTTGAACGAGAAAGACTGAAGACGCCACGCAGAGCACGAGAATTGGTTTTGTGCACGAGCGCTAAAGTTCTGGGCATTTATACTTCTATTTGTTTTACGTGGCGTCATTGTTACACCTCCAGTCATAAAATGAAATTTTTTACAAGTGGTAAGCACATTTCCGCGGCCAAGAGCCCCGTTGAGAAGGACGTTAACGAATTAATTAAAAAGATGAATTGTATAAGACAGGAGGTGAACCCATGACCTAATGTCATCGACCACTTAAAAAAAATCGAAGTATAAGTACTTGAATGCTTCGAGATTCAGAACACCACGGTGTGAAAGTTTTCAAGACATAAAAGCTCCGAGCAGTGCTCTTGGCAGTCAGTACACCACTTATCTGCCATCTATCGAGTTCTTGCATACTACAAAATACGTAACTCAACAGATGGCGTTGATAATCTCGGTCATTAGAGTGCGGCAAAATCGGACTTCAACATCTAAAACGAATTTAATACTTTTACTTCAACAAAATAAATTATCAATAAACTGCTTAGTTGCCACATTAAATACAAATTATTTTTATAAGTAAGATGTTAGGTATTATAAATTTCATGTGGGTGTATTTTAAACTATTAACTATCATTTAAACAGATTTGTATATTATGTTAATGCATAAGTGAAACAGTTTCTAAAAGTACTTAATTAAAATATTTTCACAACAGTAAAATATATTTGAAAAAGAGAGTAAAATTTTTGGTTTTTCTTTTTCACCAAGCTCTGCAAAAGTTGGCTATGCCCCTGGTTTTCAGCACCAGCTGCCATTACTGCATATTATTCAAAAACACATACAACACAAATTCAAATTTCCTAATAAAGGAACTTCGTCAAATGCGAGCACAATGTTTTCTTAATAACTAGCAAAAAATAAGATCTTCCATTGAGAAAGACTAGTCCCTGACAATCAACAAAAACCTCCACAATTATTAGATAACTTATGTTGGCTCACACAACTGTACATAATTCATATATTCAGAAATCATATTTTGAATCCACACTATTTGAAGGATTCATGCCTTTAAAAAGATGTTAATATGGTAAATATTTATTTTTACAATTAGCAGTAATCTTCAGTTTAAGTATATGAATTTTAGGATAACAATAAATTAGTATCTGAAGCCTACTTCTTTACATGCAAAAAATTGGAGTGAGCACGGGTGATTAACACTGCTCGACTCAATTCTTCGACTAAATTCTTCATTCATGAACGATCTGATCACAATTTCTCAAAATCATACTTACTGCAGTTCATTGCCTTCTCTGAAAATCCTATTATCTGATTCAAATTCTCTGAATACAGATTATTTTAAAAACCACAAGAATAAAAAAAAGGGGGCAATATTTCTAATGAAATAAGAGGACACTTATCTATTTAACAATTCTATTATCAAATTAGAATAAATAAATAATGCTCGTACTTTGCAGTCTCTCACTAACCAGTGCCTAGATTTACCATCAATCAACAGTTTCAACCTAAACTCAAACATTTACAGTTCTCATGTGTCATTTAGACTCGATATACAAATCAGTATATAATTCCACAACAAGAACAATATGTACTGTAATTTCTAGTTTATAACAATGTCACTAAAATGTGTAAATGTTTAACTAATCCTTCAATAATATAATAATGCACCCATACCCATGACAGATACAAGACATAATAAGTAAAACGTACTGTACATTTTATATTTCTCACACAAATAAATAAAACTTTTTGTTAAAAATAATAATGATAAATACTTTGGCAATTACTACATTAATAATGTTGGATATTTGAGAGGTTTTCATGGCACTCTTACTAAAATTGGAAATAAATCCAGAACTTAACACACATTCTATGATAGAGAACTGATGGTGTTTTGTAAGACTTTGGTAAATAAATTGTAAATTATTTTAACAGTACATCAATACAGTATTAAAGTATGTGTCAAATGATCTAAAATAATAACTTCATGCTCTCTTCTCTTGTTAGTCAATCATTGGCACATTAATTAAATAACAAGATCCTCTAAAATTTAATGTTATTCACTCTAACCAATAGTTTTAAACACACAACCATCAATGAATTACACCCTCCTCTATTCCTTTCAGTACTTTTAATTTTGTAAAGTGGTGCATACAAAGCAACTATGGATCAAAATTATAAACTTAAAAGTCTTAGGTCATGAAACATACAAAAAGGAAATAAATGAACAAAAATGCTGATCCAAATTTTAAAAAATGATTAGTCCACTACATATGTAAACAAACATTACAATACATTATTAAGCTGACATTTCTAATGATGGAAATACTCATCACAACTCAAAAACTTTTGTTAAGGCTTCTCCTTCAAAATAATGAAGGTCTGGTTCTCACAATATTACTATTTTTCACAATGCGATCGATCGTCATATCTATACTAAATAATTTGGGAGACATAATGAAGTAACTATAATGCCGTTAAAAGCAATGGAAAAGTTTTCAAATTCGTTGTCATGGATAATACGTAATTACATTTTATATTTTCCTGAATTTTAAAATAACCTACAATTAATGGCATTAGCTTACCACGCACATGCCGCAAGTTGGCAGCAAACACGCGTAGTACAGTTCGCATCGCGTTTGGCAACGTGACAACCTACATAAGAAAACTCCACGTCCTAAAGGAGTAACAGCGTCAGTATAATTTCTTCTCGTTAGCTCGTAAACGATTTGCAAATTTATATTGCAGGTCATGACCACCATGCCAGCTATCATAACTATTTGGAAACACTTCAATTATAGACATACCTTCTCAGGAACTGGTGAAAATACAGCACAGTAGTTCACGAGACACAGCTGTTCCTATCCACACATCTCACGTCTATCAAGGATTTATTTTTTCGAATGTTTGTAGTACGTGAACATAAACGAATCGACATCAAGGAGGCGGTAATTTAAAATCGAAGACAATTCCGGATTAGTTTAAACCTTCAATAAAAAAACTAATTTTAATTGAAATTTTACTTTAAAAATTAGTTTAATAGTATTTCGTAATACCGGAAGGGAGAATGAAAACATTAAGACACATATGTTTTGTTTATTACAAAAATTAAATTTGATTCTAACATAAATTCCTCAATATTGAAGATGGCACACTGTCAAAGCATAACACTCATCAAAACACTTGATAATGTTGATTAGTTGATAATCATGGGCATCACCGCCGACATGGGGTACATTGGAGGGGACTCCCCAGTAATCCGTACATCTATTTATCATCACCCCCATAATAATTCGGTGCAGGTGACACTCATGTCAATCAACCTTTAATACATATTTATAATGATTTATAGCACATTAAGGCCAAAAATATTAGGATAATAGCATTCAGATTCATAAATGCATAGTGATTTTTTTTGTTGCAATTACACTATTACACCAAGCTATTCATTCATTTTTCTTCCACTATTTTAATTCATGCACTCCAACTTCCTTATGAAATAGCTTCATTAATTGTTCATAAATCACCATTTAAAAAAACAACAAATAATCATGATTTAAAAAATGATGTCCTCATTGAGCTACAAAAACAGAGGAACCCCTGGTGTAGCTAGGACTCTCTTAAACATTGCTACATGAATAAGAAACCTACAAAGGGAGGTAGGCAACTCAATGCATTCACAGCCTTAGCCCTTTGGAGAATTTAATATTTGTAAAAATTGTCAGGGCCTAAGACAATTCTTTAAAGCATAGAGAATAGATCAGTAGCTGTCACTAACGTCTCAAGAAACAATTTCAAACCAGTAAGCTATTACATTCCATAATTATGACACCTAAATCTTCTATCATATACTGTACATACTCCAAAAAATGAATCCTTGGATATAATAAGTTATTGTAAATTTCACGATCAAAAAAAGAAGCATATTTCAAATATACTCCCATAAATATATTTTAATACAAACTTTCAAAATTCTGAATCTTAGTTAACTGCTGGACTTAATTGTCTTTGACAGAATTTCAAAAAACCTTCTTGATATCATAACAAATATGTTAAAACTTTTATCTCAGTTATAATTAATGATACATCTAATTTCAATCTTAGAAAATACTTGCTTGCGGAGAAGTAATATTTTATTTCTTAACTACAACAATTCATTTCAAAGACATTACTCTAAAATAGTGTTAGTGTAATTCCCTTATTTAGAAATTACTACAGCATTTATTTTTTCAATAACTAAGGGAATTAAATTCACCACCAACAATGAAATGCTTTTGTTCCTTTTGCAAAACCTTTTATGCTTAGTAGAAATAGAATTGAATTCAGGTTACGAACGCAATTTTTTTCTTATAATCAATCCATTTTTAAAATGTATTTATTATTTAAATTTCATATGAGTATCATTATTTCAACACATTGTCTCTTGATGAATATGAAGGGAAAATTTTGACAAAATTATCAGAAAATTTAATACCATTGAAAAAAAATTTTTTTTTCTAAATTATCTACTTTTTTAAATACTATTGTACTAAACCTTCTTTAATACAAATATTTATATTTAAATGATTTGTGAAAATAAAATATGAAATTGTCAAGAAAGAAACAATAATATTTACACATTCAAATGTACAAAACAATAATTTACAATAAATTACACAGAAAAACAGGAAGTACAAAACGTTGCTTTTAAAAGACATGAAACAGCAGCAGCTTTATCATCTTCACTATCTTTTAGAAGAAATATTAAAATTGTTGTACCACTGAATTTGAGATTTTGTCAAAGAAGGTCGAACACTGTCAATAGCCCACAAAAAATCCTTGTGTTTGACATCTGCAACTCCCATTCCATCTTCAGCAAGAGCGTGTAATGCAGCCTATAAATAGATAAAATATGTATATCATAGTTCAGTAAATCATCACTCCACTACTGCATTATTACCCTCATTATTCTACTTATTTTACTAACCTCCCTACATAAATTTTTTATGTCAGCTCCAGAGAAGTATTCAGTGAATGCAGCAATTTCTTGAAGATTCACGCAAGGGGCTAGAGGGGTCTTTGCCAAGTAAATTCTTAAAATGTCTAGTCTCCCTAAGGCATCAGGAGGTGGGACATATATCAGTTTATCAAATCGGCCTGGTCTCAAAAGAGCATCATCCAAAATGTCAGGTCTGTTTGTGGCTGCTATTACAAGAATACCAGGACAAGTTATCCCTCCTTCCTTCTGCAATAGACAAAATATCAAAAACACAAATACACAATACAATTATAGTGGTTTTCATAGAAAAATAGTATTACAAACATTTACAAGAATCCTCAAATAATTAGTCATAACCAGTTATTTACTAGTTAGCCATTCCATTTTATATTTTATAAAAAGCATTATTGGATTGAACTATTCTTCACTTTCATTTTTATTCTGTAAGCTGCACAAAACATTAAAAATCCTTACAACTGACTTACACAAATATCAAAAATAGATTCCTCTGTTAGCCAAATGAAGTTATATGAATGCTTTACCTACAGAAAAGTTAGTAACATAGAATTTACTCCACCATGTGTTCTCTAAAAAATTATACTCACGTAACAATCAGAACGACTATGGACAGACATTGCTCCATCTAAGCTTAGGCCTACACCATCCATTTCAGTCAAAAATGTAGAAAGAACTCTTTCGTGTACTCCTTTCTCTCTACCACAGCGACTTCCAAGAAGAGCATCTAAAACAATGTTAAACATATTTTAATATATATCATGAAACTAAATACGTATCTTCTGTTTTATTAAAATGTTCAAACTTCAAGCTGAATTTCCTGTTCCAAGATACCAGCAGGTGAAAATTTCATTGAAAATTTAAGGTGAATCTAGTACTTATGTTAAGAACATAATATTACAATTCAAAATGAGAAAATTTACGGTTAAACAGAACTATGAATTCAGAATGGATGAAAACAAGAAGAAATTTCTGAGGCAGATTTTCCTTTCATTTATTGCATTTCTTTTAGAACTATGGCTCCACTTTTCCTTGCAGAAGAATAGTATTCAATTAGTAACAAATTATTTATTATTAAGCAAGTTAAATTTGTATTTCACAGATTATAAGATATGAAAGTTACAGGAGCATTATGCAATAACAAATTCATCTCTTATAACAATTTTCTATAATAAAAAATAAAACTATTAGAAGCCAGTTTTGAGCAAATATTTTTCTAATTAGAACCAAAAACTGTCTAGTATCCATTCAATATTATTTTGTATTTTGAAGGAAATGAAGTATATCTCTGAAGCACAATATTATCAACATGTAAGTAGCCAGCATTAATCATAACAGACAAATTTTGATGCATAAAACAGTTTTGCCACATATTTATTTATTTAAAACTGATATTAGGTGTTTACCAATTTCATCGATGAAAAGAATAGCTGGTGCACCAAGTCTCGCTCTGTGAAACAGTTCAACAACACTCTTCTCAGCATCACCAACAAAGGGTGAATACAGCTCAGCAGCAGAAGTGGCAAGGAATGTAGTATTTGTAGCAGTTGCCAATGCACAAGCTAATCGAGTTTTAGCACAACCTGGAGGACCATACATTAGAACACCTGTAAAGAAACCAATGCTAAAATATCTAAATCAAACTATTCACTGATGATAAACATATACAATATCAATATGATTTTCCAATAACATCAAGTTTTGTAAAGAATAGTATTATTAGATACAGAATTTACAGCCTTCCCTTAATGAAGAAATAATTTCTTTTCATAATTCTCAATTAAAATATATGTAAAATGTAATAAAATACTACTAATATTTTAATTAATACTGTAAAGTAATAGTATAACAAAAATGAGGGGATCTTTTAATTAAATTGTTAAAGCAAAATTCTGTTACAGTGAAGAAAGTCAACTTTTAAGAACATAACCACACATATCTGTTACAGAATCTACATTACTTCAACATGAATTTACAAATGAATAATATTTGTAGATGGGAAGAATATGAAATCAGTAATTGCAGAATTTTTAATAATTTTTCAAACTGGATTTAATAATAATTTTTTTAAGACCTGCTTTTCATGGCTAAGATTAACAATCAAACAAAACAATCAAAATCTTAAACAATCATTGGTAGTAGGTAAACTTGGTGCCCCTACCCAACCAATAGCATGACATCTTCATTGAAGAGCATGCACAGCTCTACAATCACATGAATATCTGGAAAACAGCTTCTTTAGTAGAATCATTTGAATAATAAAAATACAATAAAAGAAAAATATTTATTATAAAATGGGTTGAATTTCAATTATACTTTAAAAGAAATTATGATAAATACATGACAAAAGTTTAATATGTCATAGTGAAATGTAGAATTATGAAAAAATGAAATTATTTTACATTCAATAGGTAGATTGGCAGAAACCGGAAAATAATTAACTAAACTAAATAATAACCTAAAAATACACAAACTATTGACTGAAATCCAGTATTTGCTTTAGATTGCTTGTGAATGATCAAGAAGCATCAACACGGCAAGAGCAGTAAAGTGCAGCAATGCTGCTTCTGCAGAGGCTCAACTGTCAGTCATATATAAAGAGTCAAATCAAGTACAAAGACAAATGATTCAACTTATTATAATCACTATACTATGTTACATCTCACATTATATACAATATTTTATTAATCACATAAGTTTCCAAATAAAAGTGTTATTTCTGTTAAATGCTGTTAAAAGCAAACTGTGACTGTTTTATTTATTTGATTTATTGCATTAAGTCATATTGTATGAGGAGTGAATTACAAATACAAACAGTTAGTTCTTCATATCATTATACTTTTCAAACAATGTGATACTTCGACCAGAGAAAATTAACTTGTGAATATGCTCTATAAATGCATGAAAAAATAAAGAAAGCAATTTGTTAGTACTTTGATAAAACACAATTTTTCTTATTAGTAAATTTATTATTTGCCATATGTAGAGTCACATGACAATTTTATGCTCATGATTTATATATCCACTAATAACACAGTTTGTAAAAGGTAATTACCATGAGGTTGCGGCAAGCCCAAACGAGCAAATGCTTCGGGATGAAGCAAAGGCCACTTCACAGCCATTTCCAAGGTCTTCTTTACATCATCTAGTCCCCCAATATCTGAGAGATTCACAGGATGAGTGGTTACCACACCAAGACCACTTCGCAGAGAAGATGGTCGAATTCGACTCAAGGCCCTGTGGAAATACTCCAGCCAATCTTCTAATTCAGAAAATTTTGAATTCTCCTACAAAGAAAATCAAATTTGTGAACATAACTAGTCAATATGAAAGAAAGCATATTATTTTAAAATGACATTTAGAAAAGTATGAAAAACAAGAGGAAATTACCTGTTTCTTAAGTTGTAGAAATGCAACATCTTGACACAAAAGAGATAGGTCAGCTCCAACATAGCCAGGAGTCATATTTGCAACAGCTTCACACAACTCAGCAGTATATTCAAAATCCAAGCTTAACATTGGGCGGGTTAATATATATAAAATTTCCTTCCGCTGTTTCTCTGTTGGTACTCCAATATAAATCTGTAAACACAAAGAAAAAAAAATAGATATATAATAACAACCCATTATGTACAAGAGGGAGACACAAACCGTAAGAACATGACTCAGATACCATACCTCTATTTCTAAGCGACCTGGCCTCCGAATGGCAGTATCTATATCATGGACCCTATTAGTAGTAGCAATTACTACTAAGTTAGGAGTTTCACCAACTTTTTCTAACAATGAAAGCAGCTGAGATGTTGCACGAGCTGTGTAAGATGAACCAGCCTTCTCTCTTTTTAGGCAAATGCTATCAACTTCATCCAATAAAAGAACTGTCAGTCCTACAAAAATATTTTTTAACATTAAAAACAAGAAATTACTAATGACAATAATCTGTGTTAGCTATGAAGTTTTCTGAACACTTAAAAAAGTCAGAATTTAGTTACCACAGTTTATCACATAAACATTCACAACCCATTCCAAATGGACATGCCAGATACATGAATCACTTTACTCTTATTGTTGTGTATTTTTTTAATTAAATTCAAATTTTTGAATTTGGCATAATTCACAATAATGAGAAACTTTTCTATGCCAGTTACAGAAACATGAAGTACCAACAAAAAAAAAATTTTAAATCATCTATATAAAAACATTAAATATAATATATAATTTTTCACATGTGTAAAATTGAATAGAAAGCACTTCAAATCATTACCTTCATCTGCTAAATCTGATGCCTCCTGAAACACCCTACGCAGGGCATCTTCCGTGTCACCTGGTTTTGGATGATACAATTCAGGACCTAAAATACTCACTAAAATAGCACCACAATCACCAGCTATCTTTTGCACTAAAGATGTCTTGCCACACCCAGAAGGTCCAATTAATAGAACCTACAAATGAACATTTAATAATAAATAATAAATAATAATAATAAATAATTAATAATAATTAAATAATAATAAAGGAATAATAATAATAATAATAAATTGGATAATAATAAAATAATTTGAATAAATAATATTTACATAAAAATCAATCAATAACCGTATAGAAAGAAAATGAGGTATGCTGAAAATATACTAACTTGCTGGGGAGGTTGAAGGCCTTTTCCTTTACTTCGCAAACTTTGAGACTCTATAATTTCTTTTAAAGCTTGATATGGTTTACTGAGGCCACCTAGTTCTAATGAATTCTGCACATTCTGTTTGAGTTCAAATCTCAATTGGCTAAGCAACTTGAAAGTACTAACTTTTGTTGAACTACAAACTCTACCCAAAATACTTTCAACAGAACCAAATGTTGACATACGGTGTACAACTAAGCAATGTATCCCAAGTCGTTGCTGTGCTTCTAAATTATCCAAGAACACAACAGAACAATCAGATATTACATACAACTGTAAAATTGATTTCACGATGTTACTTAAATTTGAAGAATTGTTCTTCCATTTTTTAATTGCCTTCACATCAGTAAACACTACTGAAACACTAACAGACTTAACACTGTTCACAATTTGCACTATTCCTATTTCTTCAATATTAACACGCTCAATATTTCTATCCAAAGGTTCGCACGGAAACCCATCTTTGGTTTGTTGGCACTCTTTGTAACTCACAACGGAATCATTAAATTTAATAAAACTAGAATGTAAATCTTTTTCAAGTCCTAACCTACATATACATTTACATTTCGAAGAAAGGGCTAACAAAGCGTATACTCTCGGACAAAATGATTGATTGATTTTTTTGAACACATGTTCTGACAAATAACACTTCTGTTGGCAGCACACATTTCCTTCTAAAGGTATTCTTTTCAGGTCGAAACACTCCATTTCATTATTAAACCTAACCTCAACTTCAATATTTACTGATATACGCCATGTTTAAAACGAACTGCCAACTCTACGGCGGTATCATAATGCCAACATTGTAAAGTATGATCTGATTTCAAATATGATATGAGAACTACAGGTAAAACAGAACACCATTCATCCAAGATGTCGTTGTCAATGCATAGTTACAATTTCTTGAGTATTCTAAACATCCTAATTCCGACAGATGGAATTTGGATAAGAAAGAAGAGGATCATATTTGTAATTTATTATGTATGTTAACAGAAAACAGTTAATTAAGTTCATTAATATTTTTTGTAATCAATTGGATCTTGACTTTAATGATAAGGTGTCCGTTCATATTCGCCTTTTGATTCCCAATCGACCTCATGACCATCATTCAACTCCGTCAAAATTCCGTGGACCCCTAGGGGGTCTATTGAACCCGTTGGGAAACAATGCTCTACACCTACCACAATTATGAAATCAAAACGACGTGCGCATATAGAGAAGCTACTTATATTCCATTTATATGTATGTTCACAAGCAATTCGGGGTCCACTCAGCATTTGCTCAAAGAATCAACGAAACTGAAGGAAAATCCCGATCGAGGTGGGTTCAGTGACCCAAGAGCTGAAGACAGTGGCGTAACTTTCAGGCCCGCAATGTGTGTGGGCACAGGTAAAAGGGAGCCTATTTTATGGGGATATTTTTATTATTTAAGGTACTAACACTACTGATGTTTGCTACACACTTTTGGAGGTGTAGCGCGAACACGCTACACGAAAGGAGGGCCCGGATAAAAGTTTTGCGCGCGGGCCCGCACTTATTTCGTTTCCACTGCTTAACGTACACTACTTGTTACAAGGTAGGCCCTATTAGTATTTTAGAATGAAAGTACAAATCGTAGCTAAAGCATTGCGAACATTCCGCTTTTTTAAATCTTTGCTTTAAAAATGAAAACAGCTTCGTAATGAATGCCGACTTTGGTCTGCCAGCCCCTGAAGTGTACGTTAAAGCATTACGGCCCGCCAGATTGGGTTCATTGTCGCGTCAAACTAATTTTACATACATATCGGTCTACTCGATTCCCATTAATGCATGCTACGGAAGAGAGTGAGGATACCCAGAAGAGCTGAATCTCAAAAATGTAAGAGAAGGATCGAGTAGTCTGTTATCTATTATATTTATTCAGTGTTAATTATTTATTATTTATTATTCATTATTCGTATTATTATTATTATTAATTATTATTCATTATAGCAGTAGTAAGAGTAAAATCACTATACCAAGATAATGATATTTTGAAAATGAAACAGTAGCAAAGTCTTGAAGTGATAAAGTATTTTAGAATTTAAATTAAAGTAAAGTTAAATGTTCAAATATATATAAATATATATATTATAAGGGTTATATATATACAATAATATATATATATTATTAATATTATAGGGTATAGCTATATATATATATATTATTTGTGTAATACTGCTTAACGAAACAGGTTCCCTCGGCACTTGCCTCTCGCGTATCCTTGCATCTTCCTCCGAATATTCACCGTACGTTTTTGGCAGGTTCCTCGCAAAATCCTCACACATTCCCTCGAATTTTCTTAGCATGTTTCTTGTAGGTTTCCCTGAATGCACTCCGCAAGCACCGCTCACAAGTACTTCTTCACGATTCCCGGACGAAACTCTAATGATTCTCCGCACGCTATATGTGAGGAAACATGTCCACAGCTTATTTTACTTCATATTCTCCGCATGTTTCCGCACATGCCATCCATATTATCCCCGTATGTTTACACATGTTCCTGCGTACGTTAATCTAAAAATTCAAAATAATAATTTTAGTATTTTTATGGAGTAAAACCTTTCGTAAATGTTATAGTGAGTCCCCTGTCGGATGAAACGGGGAAAATTCTTAATAGGTAGAGTATCCAGGAGATTGGAACCTCCCCACCCTTCACACACACACACACACACACACACACACACACACACACACACACCCCTTAAGAGGTCTTTTTTCCAAAAAAAAAAAATCAAACTCCAGACTCCAAAATAACGAAACGTATTGTAAAAATATACACCATTGTTTTAAAAGTTAAACAACTTCACATTGTAAACCAACTTTAAACATCTCTGGTAACCCGTATTACGAAGTGAGGGAACTTTCCAAAAACGAAAAAGAGCGCCCACAAGGTCTCATTTTGTAGATTATGCCATAAAATATTTAACTTGTAAACCTAGTTTTAAGGGCCTAGGACGCATCCTTTCCGAGTCATGCATGATGATAAAAGTGTGTCGCAGCGTAACGAGTTTTGCGGATAACAGGTACTCCCTGTAGGGAGCTCATATTCCTTGCGAAAAGCATGTACTCCTTTCGGATTGTACGAACTTCAATTTCCTACGTACATGACACAGTATGCGAACTTCCATATTTTTCCTAGAAACCGTTGCAATACTTTTGACGCAATGTTAATTTAACAAACGATGGCAGATAAATTAGTTCTTATACATATAACTATTTACTTTGGCGTCAGGATCTCTACCCCAGCAGAGCTCACACTGCAAACCAATGAGAAACATCCTAACACATGTGCATTTGTTTACATCAGGATTTTTTAAGGGTGAATGGAGAATAGGACATTTCTATCAGAATCGCTACAGAGACGGCGGCAATGCTGGCTCTGAGATAAACTCAACAAAATCATTGTGAGTTATAGGGGATGTTAAGGATCAATTCCGGCCTTATGTACGGTTGATTAAGGTTATCATCCCTGAAGTGTTTCTGTTTTATCACTCTCATTTTTAGTCTTCCAAAGTCTCTTCTTACTGTTGTTTGGTATTATTTTATTGCATGCATTTTCCTTCTAGCTTGTCACTCCTACTTCTTTACTTTCTCCCTACTACGGGGTAGAGAGAAAGTTGCGTAATGCTGAGCGAAAAAACAAATGATTTTTTGGCAGAAAAACTTATTACAGGGCCATGGTAACGAAAAAGTGGATACATCTAGTTGCTAAATTTAGAAAAAAAATTCTCTATCATGTCATTCATATCACGCGTAATGTTACGTGAAAATTCGGGGAATAAGCTGTTTTAGCTACTAGTTAAAAATATCGCGTCTCTGCTGCATAATTGTTTATTGGTTCTAGGGACTGTGTAAAACTCAAAGACGTTGCTCTTTTTGCTTAAAATTAATTTACGAGATCCAATTCAACTAGTGATGACTGTAGAAAAAGCACAAGGGAAAGTAAATAAACTATTTGGCTGAAACGTCTTTACAGATGTTTTATTTTGTTTTTAATACATTCAAAATAATGTGTCAGTACATTCTAATGTTTTCCATTGAGAAATATTCATATCACAACTGGTGCAATAACACAATTTGATCTTTGTTTTTACCAAGATGTGTATAATTGTGTATAATCAGTGTATAATTCAATTTTTTCAGAGGAGAAAAAAATCATACTATGTATGTTTGTACTTTGTTCCATCAGCATAGTATTTTTATTAAATTAGTATATAGGCCTTGATAAATAATTATATCCATTATCATAATAGTTCATGCCAACAGCAAGAGATGTGTCCATGGTAAATTTCTTGCCGTAGTCAGGCGTAGGTACAGGAGGATTATTATAAGGATCTATCATATCTTCCATTTTCTCTAATTCTTTCACAATCTGGCACATACTTAATGTGCAAAACCACATGTAGAACAGGTATACTGAAAATGAAAAAGAAAATGAATATACAATGCAACTTTTTGGAATGAACTTAAAATTGAGATATAATTTGTAAACATTGTGTGGAAAGAAAATAAAATTCAATAACATTTTTAATTTGTCAAACACTATTTTTGTGTATTAATATATCTATTAATGGCAATAAGTCAATTATATTAATGCTGTATAAACTCAAACTATTTAATATTTTCGTGTCAGATTTATTCCTTGGATATACAATGGGAATGTGAATTAGATAAATCAGATGACTGAATAAAATATTTCTATTAAGTTGAAGTTACATCTAATTTATAACTGTTACAAATGAAATAATTTATTCATTCATTAAGTTTACTCACATAATACAAAACCTCCACCAACACTGAAACCAATCAGAAGACCCAGGTTGTACAAGTTTTCTTTTACAAGTATCATGGCAAACACAAAGCATATAGAAAGGAAAATAAGTCTTAGGAGATCCAGTCCCATGAAAGGATACATTAGCATTAAGTTGCACTGAAAAGAAAAAGAGGATATTAATTGGTTGTTCTAAATGTATAAATTTCCTCTTAAAAAGTTAATGTACTTACTCTGTATGCCCCATACATGAGCAGAAGACAACAGAAAGCATAAATAGCTGTGAATGATGTGAAGAAAACTAATGATCCTTCAGGATCTGTTGCAAAAAATTAAATTACAAAACCATAATTAATTACAAATTCACAATTTTTTTAAGTTTATAAATTAGTTATAATGAACTGTGCCTATATGACAAAAAAGCTCAAAAGTTGTCTACTACTGCTTAGAACTTCATTAGAAGATTTATGAAATCAATACATAGGCCTATGAACACAGTTATTAAAAAATGTGTTAGACAGTTTTTTTAACACAATACAAGATCCAGGATAATCAGCCTCAAATCAAATTTTCTCTTCCTTATTAGCTTTATAATGACTTCAGTGAAATATTTGAAAGCAATAGTTTAGAATTTCTAATGACAAGAATACATTGTATGTAATAATTAAATTAATAAAGGAATAAATTTGTAAATACAATTTTAGTGAACTTTAATCACTCTAAGAATCAGTACAAGAACATCATGTATTTTAGAAATTAAATCAGACTATGATATAATTTAATACGACTAACTCAAGTGAAGAGATTGTAAACATATTTTAATTGTAACTGTTAGCATGATTTCAATTCTTTTCTTTACTGTGGTAGAATTGGGTTGATATGGCCTGAAATGGCAAAAAAAAAGACTGATAACAAAAAGAATTATAACAAAAAAATATAAAATTCTCTGAATTTTGTGTGGTTTAAAATTATAATTTTCTTATCCATTAAGTTTAATTTATAAATCCAGGTGGAATATCATTCTTGTTAATGTTGCACATTTTGTAACACCTTCTAAACAAATATTGTATCATGAAAATGTCATGTAACATCATAAATATGTCGGGCTTACAATTATATATTATGTTTAAGCATGTTAGATCCATTAATTACAAAAATATTGTAGAGCACGTCAATGAGTTTTTGTTGGATATATGATCCAGAGTTTGTATTATATTGCCCAGTTAATATATTCTTAAAAAGAAAAATCATTGTATGACCTGCATAATCAATTTTGAGAATTCTTAACCTTTGGACATGTCTGTGAGGGGTGCCTTTAGGAACAGCATTTCATTTTTGTCCAGCCAGTCCTTTATGGTTTCAGAGACTGTTGGTCGATCTTCCAGACCCACACAGCACAAAATTAGGAAAGCAAGTGCTTGAACCTGAAAAGTACAAATTATGAGAACCAAGACATATCATATTAACAAAACATGGACTGGCAGTCTCTAAATGTAAAACCTCTTTTTATTGATTTATTTTAAGGTAGATTCAGGAAGAAAATTCCCCAACAAAATTGTCAGCTCAATAAAAAAAAGCTTTTTTCAATCCTGATTGTATTTTATTACATGGTTCTTGTTGGCAATGAGCAATAGAGATATTAACAAAAGATTCCATAAATTGGTAGCTAGTAGTAACAATATAAAATTAATTTATATCCAAAGCAGAAGAAACAAATATCAATTATTAAAATTGTGTCTTCGAAATGAAAAGTAGTTTCTTGATTATTAAGCTTGTGAGATGAGATTGTTTATTCACGTCCACTTCGTGCAGTTTGAAGTTGAAAAGATCTTGGGGAAAGATTTCCATCTATCAATCCATCCGCATTTGGTCCCGCCTCCCGATGGTGTACAGGAGACTGCACTTCTGGCCCTAACAAAGGTGCCCACCTGAAGAGCCGAACTTCTCGACCTCCCGATATTTATCGACCCGTTTTAATCCGTAAATGAATCAGATAACAGGTGGTGTTGCAACAGCACATACTCTCCGGCATTACGTGTTACTTTTGCAATTTTTGAAAATGCAGATAGTTGAACAAAAATTAGAGGTACGCCATTTTTAAGCGACTTATGTACTATGCGAGGAAAAAACTTACAGAAAAAAGAATTGGAACAGATTTTGAGAATATAATTGTTTAAAAATTGCTTATATTTCATTCAAATAACGTGAAAACTACTCACATTTCCAAAAAAATTCTGCATGACATTATATAAAAATCTAAATTAAGGGACACATCTTATTATGGAGCAATTTTCGATTAACGATACTGTACTTTTGCAATGATAATTTTTTGGAATTTTCTAAAAGACAAAGTTCACTGAAAATGAGTTTTATGCCATTTTTGTAGGTGCACTTTGATCTCTCCGAGATGAAAATGTAATAAAAAATTAGAGACATTTTTTAATAAATTTTTAAAATGCGCTTGATAAGGCTATATATAAAGAAGCTCAGCCACGAAAATTACGTTTCAAATTTGCTCGTGTTCAACCGCCAGACCGATTGGGAAACATCAATTTTTGAGAAAATCATCTGAACGACTAGGTACTAGCGTTTACGACAGGCAGACGGACAGTCATACAGATGGGCGGACAGACAGGCAGACGGACTGGCAGGCGGTTAGGCCGACGGACAGTCCGATGGACAGAAATAAAGACGAATATCTTGCCTTAAACCAATTTTTCGAAATTAAGGAACCACAATACGTGGATTCTTAGAGGAAGTAATTTAGGACATTTAATAAGATTGATCCATTTGTCCGATATCAAAGCTCCACATCACGAGTTTTTCTGAAGAAAAATCGCAACTTTCCACTGCAGCTTTATAATACCCTCTTTACCATGTAAGCGCATAATAGGCGAGAGAGTAACATGTGAAGAAAAATCGCCACTTTCCACTGCAGCTTTATAATACCCTCTTTACTATGTAAGCGCATAATAGGCGAGATAGTAACATGTGAACGAAAGGAGTGGGACATAGTTAAGCAGCACTTGACAAACTTTTATTTAACCTCGGAGAAAAGCAATGTCGACTTACCAGTGACGTAACGCCCACGATGATGGACCCCAGGCGAACGGAGAACCAGAAGCAGAAGCTGTACATGACCACCATGGTGACGAGTGTCCGGCGGGCGGCTGGAGCGGATCACCGCAGACCACATCTGCCGTCGAGGGGGCCCGCTGCACACGGGACCGGGAGGGGCGGCGCCAGAAGCTCACCTGCGTGCGAACGAGCGGGAAGTTGATACAATCGAGGGCAAGTGAATGAGGGCTACGCAAGTGTGCGTGGTAAGGGGCGAACCTCCGCATGGGCAAACAAGGCAGTTCCCGAGGGTCTCATCGGTTTAGGTGACTTAGGGCAGTGACCGGGAAGTCCTAGAGTTCGAGTCCAGACGATGGTAAGATTTTCGACACTAGCTAGATAGCTAAGTCGAATTCATACGCTGTCTGAAGGAAAATGATGGCGACCGGCTGCTCTGATCGGTAGCTTTCGTGTATTTTTTCAATCAATACCAGGTGAATGCTGGAGCAGTACCCTAACAAACGGGCCACGGACCGCGCGCGACCTTTCCTTCTTCTTCTTCCTCCTATCCTCACCCCTTGCTTACACACACACACATTGACAAGCGCTTCACTGACACACATGTCGGGAGACCAGTTGGGAGTTTAAAGCTTGGCGCGGCTGGGGTGGTGCCCCGTTGGTTGGTAATACTTGATTGGAAAAAACAGCAAGCTGACGTGTAGGTCGTTGTCGGTTCTAGCCATCCAGCGATGGCGGTATCACCACCTCCTCCCGCAATTAAAGCAGGCATTACACTAACGGTTAGCAGTTGATGCGCTCGGAAACAATCTTTTATTCAATCGATAACTTCACTCTCGGTAGGGAGGGGGCCATGTCAATGGGGGAAGAGATGAAGATGACCGAGGATACTACTTTTTTTCAAACTTCATTTTATGTGGTTGTTAACAGCAATTTTAAATTCGAAATTAGTTTTTTTTTAATTTATTTTTAATCTTCGATGAAATGTGTGATTGGTAGCTCTGCTATATGTTTCACCAATTGTGTGTTACTTAAACCTTCCCCTTGCGATGGAGAATGGAAATTATCACGGGGACCGTGCATTGAAGTAAATTTTCTTTTAAAATAGTGATGAAAATGGTGAAATGAACAGTTGAGCCAATAATGAAAAATCTGCCATTGTCTCATTGTACCCAATTAAAATTTTAATTCGTAATGACTGTACTTTATATTGATTCTTCATTAACGTTTAATAAGAGCTCATACAATGCCAACCATTGTTTGTAGGAGAATGAAGTTGCGAGTAATTTTGTCTTCACGCCTTTCTAATAAGACGCAACCCGCAACACTGTTATGTGTTATTTTCGTTGGTTGCATACCTCATATTTTCAGCATTCAAGAACCAAACGAATCAAAATACGAATTTCGAATAAAAATCCGTAGTTTACGAATACTTCCATATTTTAGTTCTGAGAATACAAATAATATCTTATTTTGGTTCCGAGTTGTTTTTCTCTATCTCTCTTCTCCCATATAAATTAACACAACATGATGTAAGTAATAATTTCATAGTAAAGACCTTTAAGAAAATCTACACAAATAAAACTGAATTCAACGACATGTAATCGGAATTGATTCCACAAAAAGGAGTGTATAAGTAGATACGAAATGCGAATTACATTCTCTCTCTGTCCTCCTCTCCCCCTCCCTCTCTCTCCCTCCTCCTGTTCATTGGTCCTAGTTTTAATAAACTTATTACGTTATTCTTTACTTTTATGACATTTTAAAAACGTTTTAAGAGCATTTTATTGATCATTTCTTATGATTTTGTAGGTAATCAAAATTCACCCCATACATATTAAAATGAATTTACTTCTAATTCAAATTACCTGCTATAAGTAATTCCCGTTGATGGGGAGATGAATTCTGTTTATATATTGGAGAGGGAGCTTTTGGAGTGGTTTTGAAATAAGGAGACTCAGGCCTCTTGTGAATCTACTGCCTCAGGTCTCTTGTTTACTCTGTGGAAGCCCATGCTAGATATCTACATCTACATTTGTTAAAATTCTTTATAGGCCACCTACCGGGCTGGACGGGTTCTTATCACAAAAAGAATGGACAGACAAACGTGAAGAACTAAATTGCGTGACACGAGAAGAGATAGTCCATGTTTGTTTTTTGTCTATTATGTTTTATGTGCGGTATTCGCATATTTTATATTTCTGTTAGCGTAAAAGATAACAATTAAACCTAAATGAATTGTAATTATAGATGTTTTAAATATTTTTCGTAATTATTACTATAAGTAATGTTTTGTGACTTTCAAATAATTCTATAATAAATGCTCTTTATGCTTTTGCGCGAGTATTTGAAATCATTAGAAAGAAGTCCGAGGATCTATTTTGGGGGAATTGAATTGCAAGAATTAGTAGATTGCACATCGTCCTAGATGTAGAATTTCCTAGTTGAAAAAAGCTAAAAATGGGTTATATGTCGTGTGTTCTACTAAATTATCAATCACTTTTATTAATTATTTACTCTATAAGGGTATAGTAGGGTTCTAGATGCTAGCTTTTTATTGGCCCAAAACTAAATCACAATGAAATTAAGCAACATGGGAATTTTCACAAAACGGAGTGCGACCTCAAACCAACTTTCATGTATTTAGTGGCGTCAGTGACATTTGACAAGGATCCATAGACAAACGTGCATTGTAATTCTGGGAAATAGTAAGTTTAGAAAGTGTATGTAGTTGTTGCAGAGAAAAAATACCTCAATTTCATTACTAGTTAGACGCCGTAAACAATGTTTCTGAACATATTCACATATAACAGTTAAGTAAAATATACCAATAAAGCACGTCTAAAATGAACATGATAAAATCACTACTATTACACACAGACACACACTTACGAGTGACATTAGCCAAACTATCTAAAAGTTATGTTATTCATGTTCATGTCAAACGTACACCATTGAATACTTTCTTAAAATGATCACAAATCAATTTTATTTACAATTCAGTTTCGTTTCTTCCGACACAGAACTTGTTTTTATAGATTTTCAATAACATTTTGGTGTAAATTAAAAAAAATCAGTTTGCTAATGCAGGTCATCCTGCTATATATACGAGGTATAAATAAAAGGTACGTGCAGAACAATTGATGGGTTTGATGATGATCCCTTTCAATATTATTCTTGGACGACAATGTAATGAGTACATTGAATGATGCTCTTGACGATAACGGATTTAATATTGCTCGTGTGCTATCACGCACAGTTCAACCGTCGAGGATGCTAACAAGACTAGAGAGTTGAAGATTGCAGTTCAGAGTAATTCAATGCAAGCGTAATTGAAAGCAATAAACTGGTAACTGAAGTACAGGATAAAGCAACAAAGCCATAATAATGAATGTGCATGAAGCCATTAGCCGTGGTGAATATGAGTTAAAAGAAATGGTACTGGCATACTCGCCATATATCAGCACTGCACATGGAAGATAGCAAACAGGTAGTTTAAACGCTTGACATAGTATTAACACGAACGGTGCACATACATTAGCACAAGACGTAGATCAACAAAAATTGTTAATTACACAGGTTAGCTCGCGAGCCATGACATACAGCTAGACAGTTAATTCTGTTTCGATTGTTAAATGCGAGATGAGTAATTTAATGGCGATTAGTGCAACAATATATTATTTTAAACGATTAATCGATTCCTTTAAAACAATTAGTTTTATTCTAATTAATCTGTACATCTATTATTTTTTGATAATTTATCTTCATTATTTTAATTTAAATATTAACTTTCAGAACAAAAAAAATATTGAAACAGGCCTCTACACACAACATTTAGCAACGTAATTCATCGTCAGTTTCTCTCCAACAACAAAAAATAGAGACAACCATTATTAATTCATTTATTGGTAGCGAACAGATAAAAAGAAAAGTCATTACATATGATCTGTTATTTTATTTACGCCCTATTCGGAATCAGATCAAAAGACACATTTACGAGTTCCTCTAGAATTGATCGAGAGTACATTGCAGGAATTTTCGGCAGTGGTGGCTCGTGCTTAGGGTGTATGGATGCGCAATCAGCAGATAATCGAAAAATTCTTATAATACGTTAGGAATATACAATTTTCATTTAATGATATTCAATATTCCAGATATTTCAGAAACATCGATGTATATGAAATCATTTAGAAATTAAAGAGCGTCCGACTAGCGCTCTCTCCGACGCGACGTGCGGTGCCCTCCCATGCAGTTCATCATTCACTCTCTAAATCGGTTTTTCTGCATTCGCTCTTTGGCTGCAGCCGAGCGTCCCTACGCTTTAACATAGGTCCCTCGGGTTGTTTTCGGACAGCAACGAGTTATATACTCTCTGGCAACGAGCCACGCGCATGCACCGCACAGCGCAGCACTGTTGTTGTGAATAATGATGCCGAAAAATCATAATTCTCCTGGAAGTAAGAATCCCTGCCGATTTAAGAGAGAATATATTTCTAAAAAATTACAGATATTTCAGTATTGAAATATAACTGGTTAGCGACATTTAATAAAATAAATAATTTTATTTCGTTATCACTAGCACTAATAGCAGCAATAACAACTTAGATCATGAAATAAATTAGTGTCAAAGTGTTCAAGCAATATTGATAGTTGCCACGTGCAGGAGAGCGATAACGGTAGTTTCGAAATATAGCTCAATTTTTTGTTTATATGAATTCTATTACCGGCAATTGTCTCAATGCAGAACATACACAAAAACTCTTAAGTGCCCACTGGAAATCAAAGCCAGAACCATACACGCGGTAGGTGAATATTTCTGAAACGGACACTATGCATTGAATTATATAAGTAATGTCTGATTATAGACTTTTATTCAACTTAGTTTTAACTATTTTACAAGGCTTGCTTACCGTTTTATATATTATGTTATTTTTGGAAATTTTGGAAATTACATTTCCGTTATTCGATGGAGTTGCAACCCCCGTTTGTTGGGACTCACTCTCCAGGACCGTCACTCCCGAGGACTTTACTCAACTAAGATGGAAAGTTAGGAGAATGCTATTCACGAGATTATGTTAGGAACGAAACTCTTTTTATCCAAAAATACTTCATTATAGCTCACGACTGAGGGCAAGAGCACCCACCAAGCTAGTACATTCAGAAAATATTTTACCATTGG